TTGAATTTCTGGCAGCTCCCTGTCAATATACTGCATCTATTTTTGAATTATCTTCAGCATAATTTTACTTGCATGTGATATTGATGACATTAATATCACTTGAAATATAGTGTCCGTTAAATAAATGTTAACCTCGTTTCCTTTTCTCCTCTCATATGAGGATCCTGTAAATAACAAACTCTCTGACAAAAGAATCCTCAGGTTCCAATGGAAAGTGGGATACAAGGAGAAATGGATAAAACTCCAAAAAGCAATGGCTTTTGTACATGTTCCCGGGACATAAGTATACCGACGATAGTGAAATCTGGTTTAAAAGACTAGATTCTGTGCCTTTCTTAGTTGTGAAACCTGGTTTTACTTTTCTGAGCCTCATTTTCTACATATGTACTATATAGAGCTGTGATGAAGAACAAATGAGATCATGTATATGAAACTCTTTGGAAACTATAAACCAGTACACAAAGGTTCCCTAATGATTCATGGTTCACAGCAATAATGGTAGGATATGGAGACACTGACCTCATCTGTGTGAGACTGGAAAAGGAATGGAAAAGAAAAATATGTTCCTCTCTAGTGTCCTAGAACAGAATTCTCTTTAAGCCTTGAAGACAGAATTTCGTTGCCAGTTTAGTTTGAAACTAAATTATCTGTGGACCTCTTACCTATCTCTTTGTTCTTCATCTGTAGAGTGATCATGAGAGAAAAACGTTCCAAGTATTCCAAGTAGGGTATCGTGGCCTTTTTTGCCAGCAGTATGATATACCCGAGAAGCCAGGTGCAAATCAATGGGCAGCCCATGAGCTGGGATAGTGGTGCACAGCTCGTGAAGGCTAGGGGAAGGGTAGTCTTGTGCAGTTCTGCAAAGTAGAAAATGAAGGGACCTTTTATTTTTTTGGACATTAGACATAAAACACATTTTTATATTAACATTTTATCTCAACTCTTAAAAGGTATGTCTAAAGTAGGAGATCAGATTTAGAGCTATAGCAATAGTTTATAACAAATTTAATATCACAATCTAAGGCCATTGTCCCAAGCTTCAAACTCACATATCCAACTGTCTTAAAGAACATTTCAACCAACCTGTTTCACAGATACTTCAGAATCAACAAGTCTAAAAGCAAACTCATTATCATTCCATCCCAATCCTCTTATTCTCTTGAATTCTGTAGCTTAGTTGGAGATACCATACCAGACATCATGTTTTACTCCTTTGCTCCTCTGCTTGACTGCTAATGTCCCTGAAGAAGTTATCCATTTTCCATTAACTAATCTCAACAACCAGGAACTCCCTAAATCAGTGTGGCATTTCTCCTCTCTCTATGCTGGAGCTAGTCTCTCTTCTGCCTTTCCAGAGTAGATAAAAGTGTACAAAGGTCTGCTATCTTAATTCCCAGTGTCACTTGCCATCCCATCAACAAATACTTATTTAGCACCTAATATGTGCCAGGCGCTGTGCTAGGTACTTTACATACCTTCTCTTTAACTCTTACAATGAACCAATATGGAAAATATTATTATCCTTATTTTGGACAGGTCAAAAAATTAGTGAGTGACTGATGGGATCTAAACTCAATACTGCAGACTACAAACCAATTTTCTTTCTCTGGTAGCGTAGTGCCTAAGGCACTTGACTGCTAACCAGAAAGCTGGAGGTTCAAACCCACCAGCCACTCCTCAGAAGGAAGGTTAGGCAATCTACTTCTGTAGTGATACTGCCTTGGAAACCCAAGGAGGGTCGCTGTGAGTCAGGGGCGACTTGACAGCACATAACAACAACAACATTAAAAAACCAAACCCACTGCTATCCAGTAGATTCTAACTCATAGCGACCCTCACTGGGTTTCTGAGGCAGTGAATCTTTACAGAAGTAGATTGCCCCATCTTCCTTCCCTGGAGCAGCTGGTGGGTTTGAATCACCAACCTTCTGGATAGCAGTCAAATGTGTTAGGTACTGCACTAGCAAATCTCCTGCCTTTCCTATTAAACTCACTGCTATCGAGTCAATCCCAACTCTTAGCGACCCCTCCTTGGGTTTCTGAGGCAGCATCACTATGGAAGTAGATTGCCCAATCTTCCTTCTGAGAAGTGGCTGGTGGGTTTGAACTGCCAGGCTTCTGGTTGGCAGTCAAATGCCTAGTGCCTATTAATGACTCCTGAGATGAAAGTAGGAGCCCTAGTTGCACAATGGTTAAAGCATTCGGCTGCTAACCAGGAGGCATACAGTTTGAACCCAGGGAGAAAGATGTGGCAGTTTGCTCCCACAAAGATTTACAGCCTCAGAAACTCTATGAGGCAGTTCTAGTCTTCTCAATCAAATGGCAATGACTTTGTATTTTTTTGGTTTGAGATGAAAGTGGCCCTTACTCACTATTATTCCTTCCCCATTTCTCTACTTAACTATACCCTTACATTAACCAAATTACTTTTCTTTCACCAAATCATAGACCATGTTCTCTATGACCTCCAAACCACAGCTGACAATGTTGATGACTCCTTCAAATTGTTCTTCCCACATGAGGTTTTATCAAGCCTGCACTATCCCAGCTTTCCATCTACCTCTCAAATTAATCATAATTTGACTTAGTCACTAGATTTTTCTTCTCTGGCTTCCATACTGGGTATCACTTCCAAGACTCAATTTCTCTTCTACATTGGAAAAATCATCTTCTTTGTTTCATCTACTCCCTCTGTGCTCAGAGCTTCCAAATCTCACCTCCAGTATCACTAACCCTCCTAGATTCCTTGTCTTCAAGGTACAAAATACTAGAGCCATCACTGACTCTTTTCTCCTTCATTTGCATATGCAGTGTTGCTCAAGTGAGCTTCTTCTCAATCTTCATTGCCACCAAACCCCCAGCCTGCATTAATGAGGGTCTGCCAGGCAGGTTGGGCACTCTGTTCTCTTTATCTTCCCCTCTTCAACTTGTCCTGTAAACTTTTACCAAATACCTTCTTTAAATACTCCTTTACACAGCACAATGGTTCTATTTTACCTACTGCAACCATCTAACTTCCTCTTTCTAAGTTTCAAGGTTCCTAGCATCTGGCCCTACCTCCAACATAATAGCTAAGAATTTACACTTTGGAGTCAGACTGTGTGTGTTCAAATCCTGGTTCAAAACCTCTCTTGGTCATAAACAAGTCAATTAATTTCTGTATACCTCAGTTACTTCTTCAGTAAGCTGGGAATCAAAACATAAGTGCATCCTAGATAAAGTTACTTTAAAAAAGAAAGGATTGAATGAATTTACAATAGTGTCTCTTGCAAAGCATGTATTAGCTATTATTATCAGTTCCCAGGACAAATCATAGGACCAGCAAGACTTGTCAGTTCCTTTTAGCTATGGGTAGACAGTTGGAAATCCTTTTGTCCATGACCTGCGGTGTCAAGCTCACCTATATCATCATTCTGCCTGGGACAGGACTTAGCTATGGAATGTGCTTGAGACTATATTTCCAATTTTCACTTTTTCTTAAAAAAGCATCTGAACTCCTATGCTCCCCATCACATCCCATCAATCTCACCAGGACTAGACACTGGTGAGAAAAGAAAAGTAGTAATTAAGAAAAAAAAAATAGGGATAAAAATATTTTCAGAAATATTTTTCCAAAAGTCTTTTTTGCTATATAAACTCTTGAAAAATCTATTTTATTTTTCTTCTGCACCTCATTCTTATTTCTCTCTAATGGAAATTTCTAATCTTATTTTTAATGAATTAAAACAGTACTATATATATCAAGAAGATCTACAAATATTTTTGGCATGCTCGAGAAAGACTATGTTTTTATAGCACACTCTCCTTAAACAGGGCTATTTGTCATTCTTTGAAACACTAAGACATAAAAAAGAAAAGACTAACTCTGTGTGTGGCCATGTTACTTTGCTTAATGCACTAAAATGCAAGGTTTTTTCAGAAAAAAAATCAAGAAGTTTCTGCACCATTGATAATCTGACAGTAACTATTTATTGAAGGTAAAATACTTGTTGTCTGCTGTCACTATTTGTTTTAATACATAATCTCACTAACTAAATGAGCTTAAAGCAATGCAGATAAGCAATGGCATGTACAGGGTCACTTAAATGCCAATTTGATGGTTTCATAAACTTTGGAATTCTTCTCCCATGAGTCTATTCTCAGCTACTTAATTGTGAGTAATATCCATTTGCAAACTTTAGGTTGGCCATAAAAGAGTTGTCTTCCATGTCCAACACACCTTTCAGTTCCCTAAGCAACAGCAAAAGCTAATAATTAAAGCTTCTTTAAACCTCCATAAAGAGCTAAATGAAGAAGAATATAAACTAAACCAAGTCATAAAAACCTATTGGTGAAAAAAGGAGAAATTAGAGTTTCCACAAGGTGAATGGCAAAAGGTAAACTATAATTTAAATTGCATTTGTACACTATTATTGAAAATTGTGGTCCTACTCCTGTATAAAAAGCAACTCCTATAAAAAAAATATGGGAGGTGGGGGGTTGAAACATGAAACTATAGTAGAGAAAAAGAAAGCCATCTAAGTTACCAAATTGATTGGCCTATGGTCATTTTGTCTTGAGTTATCATTTATTTTGTCATAACAAAATTAACCAATATAATAAGCAGTCAATCCAAATCAGACATTATAGTGACCAGAAATATCAAATTTGAATCATTAATACTAATTTTTTAGTCTACTTTAAGTATTGTTACATCATCAAAGTAAGAATTTGGTCAAAAATAGAACTAAAAAGAAGCATGGTGTACAGCATATATATCCTAACTGCAAATCTGCCACCAACTTTTCCTGTGAGAAGTCTTAAATCTCATACACAAATTTCTAACACATTAAATTTTCCTTTAAAAAATGCATTTTTATGTATTAATGCCACTGTCTCTTCAGATAGGAAAATTTGTAAATTTAAAGAAGTTACTTTTTAGCTAGTTTCTGATCCCTTGAGGATTTTAACAACTTTCTTGGTCTCAGTTGTTGAAATTCTGATTTAGTTTTTCTCATTCGCTTAACTTCTTTTCCTTTGATTTGCAAGAATTCTGATGACAATACCTTTAAAAAATAAATAAAGTATGCTGTTAAAGTTATAACACAAGAATTAAATAATGGTCCATCTCATAGACTTCTCATTTCTATATATATAAACAGAATATAAATCCTGAAAGTAAATTGCCATTGTGGTTGTTAATGGCCACTGAGTCAGTTCCAATTTGTAGTGTCCCTGTGTGTGCAGAGTAGAACTGCTCAACAGGCTTTCAAGGCTGTGACCTCCCAGGAGCAGATCACCAGGCCTGTCTTCTGAGGTGCCTCTGGGTGGGTTTAAACCACCAACTTTTTGGTTAGTAGTCCTCAATCACTTGTGCCACGGAGGGACTCTTGGTAAACTGATAGCTTCCTCTAAATCTACTCCTAAATTTTAAAATACATACTTTCATAACAATAAAACACATTAGCATTTATTTAAAATACTTTCTTTTTGTGTTAAATTATTGTTGTTGCTCTTGTTAAGTGCTGTTAAGTCTGTTCTTACTTATAGTGACCCTATACACAATAAAACAAAACATTACCCAGTTCTGCACCTTCCTCACAATTGTTGCTGTGCTTGAGCCCATCACTGCAGTCACTGTGCCAATCTATCTTTTTTCACTGAATTTGTACTTTACCAAGCATGATATCCTTCCCGAGGGCCTAGTCTCTTAAAATACTGAAAAGGAAATAGAAGATTTTTCCCACTATAAATCTTTATTTCTTGATAGGTACTTTAATAGAACTTACCCTTAGTCTCTTAAAGTTTGGACTGACTGGTGGTTATAAACACAATCTAAAAAGAACTTTAATGCTTTATACAACTATTTTGAACATCTATCCATTTGGACTTCTTACTGTTCTATTATATTCTGTTACTGCTCCTTGAGAAAAATCAGATACATTTCTGTCTCATAAATAATTAACTGCCTTTTAATCAACATGATGTTGTTAGGTGCCATCAAGTTAGCTCCAACTGCAGTGTGGTAAATTACATAGTATGGCTTTTCTAGCCATAAGTCTTTGTAAACCCCACAGTAGAATTTGCCCATGAGCAAATGAGTAGCTCCTGATTGTTAAAGTTATCGACCTCGGTTATTTCTGTTGAGAGTGGCACAAAGCAATCTTCCGGGAAGTTCTCTCTGTCTCAGGTATATAGAATTCTGATGTTGAGATTGGGCCACTCTGCCAGGCTCAAAAGCAGCCTTCCTAGAGGCAGAAGGAGTCTTTCTGGCTGAGAAAGACATGCTGCTGAGAGAAATGCACTCCTGGGAGACATGCGAGACACACACTGCTGAGAGAGAGATGCGAGAGACATGCACTGCTGAGAGACTGATATGCTACTGAGACTGAGGGCTGCTGAATGAGACAGCTGGCTGCAAGAGACTGAGTGTGTTTCTGAACTTGAATTATAGTCTGGTGCTTCCATAATAAACCCCATAATCTGTGAGTTCTTTGTGGCTACTGCAGCAAAGTATTAAACCCAGCAGAGAGGTGGTGGATGCTGCAGGAGGAAAGGTTGGTGAAAGGGCTAGAGGGAGACAGCATGTCTGACCTTGCAGGAATAGGCCTTGGGCTACTGATGGTGATTCTGTCTTCCTCTCGTGGGGTTAGAGGTCAGAAGATGCAGTCTCCCTGCCCCCTTGGCACCAACTCAGCGAACCCAGGTACAACAGAACGAAACATTACCCTGTCCTGGGCCATCCTCACAATTCTTGCTATGCATGAGCCCATCACTGCAGCCACTGTGCCAATCCTTCTCATTAAGAGTCTTCCCTTTTTTCTCTGACCCTTCACTTTACCAAGTATGATATCCTTCTCCACAGAATGGTCCCTTCTAAAAACATGACCAAAGTCTGGCCATTCTCACTTCTAAGGAGCATTCTGGCTGCACTTCTTCAGGACAGATTTGTTTGTTCTTCTGGCAGTCCGTGGTATTTTCAGTTTTCTTTGCCAATGCCACAGTTCAAAGGCATCAGTTCTTCTTCAGTCTTCCTCATTCATTGTCCAGCTTTCACATGTATATGAGACAACAGAAAATACCATGGCTTGGATCAAGCACACCTTAGTCTTCAAGCTCTTCAACACTTTAAAGAGGTCTTTTGCAGCAGATTTGCCTAGTGCAATACGGTGTTTTATTTCTTGACTGCTGCTTCCAAATTAATCAATATAGGTATTTGTAATCTTTTTTCCTTAAAAAAATTTGCAGAATTCATGGTAACGGTTCATCTAAAGATATTTTTTTTCTGTGGGTTGCCCTGTGTTTTCTGAGACTAGAAGGAAGGAGGAAAGCAGGGAAGATTTCCTTGAGGACAGTAAGGTGATGTGGTTGAATAAGAACAGGAAGTCAGGAAAGGGAAATTCTTATAAATTAGGTAGTGAGTTTGTGCTTGATATAGTAGTAAGAGAGCTATTGCAACTTCTTGGGTAAAGAAGTGACCAAAAAAGAAAAAACAGAGCATTCCATCTAACTACACAGTAGAGAGAATTCAAATATTATTTTCACCAAATAGTCATCCAACCTGACTTGAGCAAAATCAGGGAAACAGAACTTAGATATATCCAAAGACAGCCCATGAACCCTTTGAAACTCTTCCAGTTGTTAAAATTTTTTGTATCTTTATTATTGGGCCTAACAACACTCCTCAGAAGGAAGATTGGGCAATCTACTACTGTAGTGATACTGTCTTGGAAATCCAAGGAGTCACTATGAGTCAGGTCTGACTCAACGGCACATAACAACAACTTTCAGTCACCAGTCTCTATTCAAACTTCAGGAACAATACAGGCACAATCTATCTTTCTTCCATTTGACTAACAGTGAAATATTTGAGTAAAGTTGACTCCTCTGGAGCCGCTTTTCCCCCAGACAAGCATTCTCAGTCCCTTCAACTCTGCCTTACATGTATTGTGTTTTGTCATCTTGAATGGTCTCTTCTGAACAGTCTCCAATTTGTTAGTATCCGTCCTAGGGTAGAACACTCAGATACTAACACAGTATTTATAGTGTGGCATGATCGTATCAGCCAGGAGAAAAATGACACTTTTTTATGGTATTCATCAATCAACGCAAACTGCAACTATATTTGTCTTCCTAACTGAAAACTACATTATAGCCTAAAACCCTGAAGTAATTTTGCATTACTGTTAAGTTGTATCATCTTCTATCTATGCACTTAGTTTGTAGACCCAAAGGTAGAACCTATATACATTTTGTCCCAATTAAATTTCATCTCAAGTCTGACCAACCAAATCTTACCCATCAAATGTTGGATGTTGTCTGCAAATCCAGTCAATAAATCTTCTATATTCTTATCCAAATTATTGGGAAATATGCTGAATTAGACACAGCCCTATAGCATTCCACAAGTGTCTTTCATCCACCAATGTGCATCCTTTGGATAACTAATTACAAATCCACTTAATTGTTCACCTGACTGCAATCTTGTCTCCAAAACTGTCATTGGGAGGCTTTCGTAATTGGATTGCTGAAATCCAGATTGTAATAACAATGCTTCCTGAGTTTTCTTGTGTGCAGGCATTTTCTGAGTGCTTTGTATTGTAACATCACAATTATCCTCCCAATAACAACACAAGGCAGGCACCGTCATGATTCCCTTTTTACAAAGGACAGATAAGAAGTGCAGTAATCTAACCAAGGTAGTAAATGGTAGAGGAAGGATTCCATCTCTGGCATCCTGGCCTTAGAGTCGGTGCTCTTCATCATGATACTCTTGTATTGAACCCAAGTTCTCTAACATTTTTTGATGTTCAGTCTAGTATCTTGAGGAAAAGAATTAAGGTTGGTCTTCCATGACTTATCCTGAGGGAACCAATGCTGGCTCCAAGTGACTACTGATTGATTCCTTTTATAAGGGTTCAATCACACCATCCTTTTAATGATTCATTTAATCATTCTAGGATTTGTCTAAGACTGACACATAGATTGCAGAAACCACAAGCCTCACCTTTAAAAAAAAAAAAAAAATCAGCTATACAGCAGCCAGTCTGCAGGCTTCTACCTCCTCAAAGTCGCTGCTGACAGGGAGCAGAGATCTCATTTGCAGGAATCAGTGTGTCTTGAGACAACAAGCCTTAACTTATCTGGATCAACTCTTAAATCTTTTACCAATCTTGGGCTTCAAGTTTCTTTTATTGATTCTTCTCTTCTTTCTAAACTAAAGATCATTCTCCTCGTCAGTTTAAGGGAAGCAAAATAGGAATTTATCAGCTTCCTTTTCTCTTTGTCATATTTCTGTTTATTTAAAACCTCAACTTTGTTCCAAAAATAAGTTAAGGCAGCTCTGTCATCTGTTCTCATCACATTATTCATCTATAATGACAGGGTTATCCTTTCTTTTTTTTCTCTCATTGCTCCAAAACTAACATACAGAATACTATTTTGTTCTTAGCATTATTCACAGGTCTCAACCCATTCTGGATCTTAGCCTTTCAGCATTATTGTTATAGCCACATGCTACTTTTATATTTATCTATGGATATATATTCCTTGTTTCATCTTTTGTATGTTTAAAACTCTGAATGCAAAGATCACTCATAATTATTTTGTGAAAATTTGGGAGATTTAGGCCTCCCACAACTCTTAAACTTCCTTTCACTCTAGAATCTCAAGTCACGTAATTATATCTAAATTTTTTACAGACTTTTACTGACATTATCCCCCCTAAAATGGTCAATAATCCTCTCACTGGCTAATATGTGAATCATTTCTTCACAAGTCATCATCATTTCTATCTAATTAACCTTTCTTTTTCATTGTTCATGATTTAGACCAGAGTACTAATGACCTTTATTGACTACTAACCTTCCAGCAGTAGAAATGATCAGAAAGGTAAGGAGTTACTTTACTTTTTGTGAAATGAGACCTTCTCACATATGCCTGAGCAGCTGAAGTTCTGCATTGATTCTCTTTCACATCTTTCTGCTAGTTCCATTTGTTGTGTCAAAGGAGGTCTTCTTTTCCCTGTAATCTGGCCTGACTTGCTTCTTCCTTATTCCTGTGCCATAGGTGCTGAAGACTAACCTTGTGGCCTCAAATGTCCATTTACAGGGTAAAGTTCATGGAAAAAAATTGATCTTGAAATGTAAAAACAGATAAATACAAGCTGCTTGGTGAGGACTTGGCAGGATGAGTCACAGAAATATCTCCACTGCTATTTTCTGTGGCATTATGTATCCTTGGTTCCACAATCAACACCAACAGAAGCAGCAGTCAAGAAATCAGATTTATTGCACTAGGCAAATCTGCTGCAGCAGATCTCTTTCAAGTGCTGAAGAGCAAAGATATGTCTTGCATGGTATTTTCAATAGCCTTATAGGCATGTGAAAGCTGGACAATGAATAAGAAAGCCCAAAGAAGAGTTGATGTTTCTGAGTTGTGGTGTTAGTGAAGAATATTGAAAGTACCATGGACCACCAGAAAAATTAACAAATCTGTCCTGGAGGAAGTACATCCAGAATGCTCCTTGGAAGTAAGAATGGCCAGACTTCATCTCACCTACTTTGGTCATGTTGTCAGAAAGGACCATTCTGTGGAGAAGGACATCATGTTTGGTAAAGTGGAGGGTCAATGAAAAAGGGGAAGACCCTCAATGAGATGGACTGACACAGTGGCTGCAACATTGGGCTCAGGTATAGCAAGGATTGTGAGGGTGACACAGGACCGGGCAGTGTTTTGTTCTGTTGTACACAGGGTCACTATGAGTCAGAGCCAACTCGACGACACCTAACAACAACAACATGTGTCCCACAATATCCTACAACAATAAACCATAACATCTTATTAGACATTCTCTTCTCGTCCCCTTTAAACACTTCTAGTTTCAGTTTAGAAATCCATTCTCCAAGTCTCTCTACTCAAACCATTCTTGCTAATTCTATGAGGGACACTCCATTCTAGTCATTTTTTGCAGCTGAAAGTGTGTTTTTGTACATTAACTGGTTGTTGTTACAAAAAGGCAGCTGTAGAGTAGTAAGGAGTGAAGCTTCCAGAATTAGACTGGTGGAAGAACTGGTAATAGCCACTTGACTTGGATGAAGCAGGAATGTGGTGACTGGTGGAAAGAAGGGGACTCAGAAGGAAAAAGATCAACCAGGAAGATTGTTTATCCAAGAAAAGGCATTGTGTGAATCAGTCAGTGAGGAGACTAGTGTTGAAAATCAAGATGATATGCTGTGGTAAAAGAAAAAGTGGGTTTTCTTAATTCTAATCATATATACATATATAATTGTTTCAGTTACCTAGTGCCACTCTGGGAGCTCTGGTAGCATAGTGCATAAGGCACTTGACTGCTAACCAGAAGGCTGGCGGTTCAAACCCACCAGCCACTCCTCGGAAGGAAGGTTGGGCGATCCTACTTCCGTAGTGATACTGCCTCGGAAACCCAAGGAGGGGTTGCTATGAGTCGGGGCCGACTCGATGGCATATAACAACAACAACAACAAGTGCCACTCTGACAAGAATATACCACAAATGGGATGGCTTTAACAAACAGAAGTTTATTCTTACAATTTGGAGGCTTTAAGTCCTAGTTCAAAGTGCCAGGCTCTAGGGGCTGGGGGAAAGCCCCTCAACCTTAGGCTTCAGCTCTGCCTCCTGCTCCTGGCCCACTGAAGCTAGAGGCTTTTCTTCACTCAGACAGCTACTGGCTGATGAGACTTACAAGCCCAAGGTTGGCAAGTAAAAAGACACAGTCCTAATGTTACCAAACCACATGGCAGGCCATTAATTCAAGTCCATTGAAAGTCCCAAGGTCGGCAGAGCATGGAAGGCTGCTGAACAATAACATGGCTACATGCAGGGTTCAAGCCTGCCATAAGCTAGAGACCATTCCCAAACCTGTTTCTTATATATGGGAACAGACCACATACCCAAAGCAGCTACTCAGCTCCTCCAATAGATTCCACCATGGACTTAATTACCAACCTCACCATGGGGAATAACTACAGTCAGCTGCCCAGCCACTCAACCAGGCCCAGCCAAGCTGACACACAAACTTAACCAACACAGTTCCACCTCTTGTCAACTTGGCACCTGTACAGATCTTCATTGGGTGGTATCTGTACAGATCTCCTTCACTTGGTGACTCCAGTCACCCCCTTGGCCTGGCAGGCCCTGTTCCTCTCCCTCTTGGGCATGGCAGCCCCGCCCCCTCACTCGGGCAGTGGCTATGACTCCATCGCACTAGCTCACATGAACGAGCAGCCCCACACTCCAGAACCAAGTTGGTGAAGGTCTGGCTTTTTTAAACCTAGGGGGCTGTGGTGGTTCCACCCCCAAAGGCCATGGTCTGACCTTTGTGGCTGAGGCAGCTCTGCTTCCCATTTCCTTGGTCTCTCTGCTTCTGCCAATTAATTAATGCCCAAGGGCAACCCACTCCACTGGAAATATTTCTGCCCAAAAGAAACTTAACTTTCTTGCTCCATGGGCCAGCCAACTTGCTACTCCATCTCTTGCTAGTCTCTTCTACCAATTAATGCCCAAAGGCAACCCATTCCACCAGGAAGCCGCCTTCCCAATGGCACCTGGCTTTCTCTATAGGCTGGTAAGCCTGTTGCTGTTTAATGCCGGTCTCTGGGCTTTGCTACTGCTGTCTGTCATGCAGCATGCCGGGGTCTCTCTGCCAGTGTCTCAGGTCAAGAATGCACTCCACTCCTGTTTCCACATTTTAGGTATCTGTCAGAGCAGCACCCCACTCTCCTGGTACCATATTCTGCTCTAGGGGTTGGGTGAAAGGCCCTCAACCTTGGGCTTCAGCTCTGCCTCCTGCTCCCTAATCTTTATATAAATTTATTTATTTAAGTAAGAATTAAAGAAAGGTACTCAAGAAATAATAGTAAGGTGACATGCAGACATGGTAAAATTATTACAATTATATATAAAGAAACTAAATCTAGGAAACACTCCTACAATAAGAAAAAACTCAGTAGTTAGGGTAATCTTAAATGAGGGAAAGTGATAAAGCTCAAAAGTTCATCCAGTTGGGGGTATAGTTCCTGACTCCCTGGAGATGGTAACTGGAAGACTCTTGGTCTTTCAGAAAGCCAAGAGGTTCCTTCCCTCCTTGAAAGTCTGTTCTCTCTCTCCTCATGGTTATAATTAAGTTTGAGACTTAAAGTCCTCATAAAGCGAATATTCCCTTTTCCCAGATGGACAATTTGCACTTCTAAGGCCCAGTTTTTCAGAGTGACAACTCCCCATGCTTCTGCCTCAACCATTTCCTCATACCTGCCGTATCCTGAACTCTCATAACTCTGTGTGTTTCCAATATAAACATTTTTTTTTTTTTTTTTACCTTTAGAGACACTCTCTCGGCTGCTTTTGAATCATTTGTGGACTGTTCATCTCCCAAAAGGTTATATGATTCCTCTGTTGGCTGAACTTCCTGAGGTTTAAGTACCAAGCTACCTGTTTCTAAGGCTCCCCATTCTGATGGATCCTCTTGTTCGATCTGAAAAATACTTGATACAGCTTCAGGAAGTTCTTCAAGCATATTTTGCTGGAAAAGGTAAACATAAAAGAGTGCTCTTTTTATTGGCCCTTCTAAACTCATGCAAGGTTTTCTAGCTGACAACAAAATAAATAGGAAGAAGCATGTTTGAGATTAAGCAAAAGTGATAAATTTCCTCTGAAGATTTAGAAAGAGAAACTCAAACTTAAGAAAATTGGAGGCTGGCAAAGTATTGTCCTCAGCCCTTGCCCCAGATAAAGGTAGCTACCCCACAGCTATTATCATAAACCCTAAGAAAATAGACAAGATTGTGATCTTACCTTGACTCCACCTCACACTCACACAGAGTCAGGGGCTAGCATACACTCAACAAAAAGGCAGTGCTGGCTGCCTTGGCTGCCATTTTCATAATTCCAGCTTGGCTTTTAGATCAGCCTTAGGTCTAATGAGACATCCAAGCCCTGCCTAAACTTGAGGTTCTTTGGGCATAAAAATTAGGATGCTGCTCCTATAGAAACCTGACCTCAGTTCCTCAGGGAAAAGCTGAAGTACTGATTCAGAGGCCTTGGGAAGACCACAAGGATGTACCAGCTCCATGCCAAGGCTAAATGAAAATTTCTGACAAACTCTCATCCCTGCACCTGTTTTGTGTTCCTTATTAATGTCTCCTTGACTTAAAACTATATCTCAGCAGATCTTAGTGAAGTATCTTATGGCCATATTTAAACCAAGATTATTTGAATTATGGAGCACAGGCAGTTAAAATTCCACTGCCTCAAATTAAAAATGATAAAAGCCAATCTGACTTACACAAAAGCCTGAATTCTACAGAATGACTGTAAAATGTAATTGCATCACTTTGTTCTTTGGTACAGTCATTTGCTTGTAAGTAAAATAAAAGGTAGAGATGACATTTAGTACCAAATACTATATGAGCACAACAATAGTTCTTTACGGAAGAAGGGATTGCTAGATCAAGAAATTCAAAATTTGTAAAATGAAACTTTAATCCTGAGCTCATGTTTTTATAAAGCTACTGGATGGGAAAGAATAAGAACTTTAGAATCAGACGAGGCTGAATTCAAATCCTGGATCTGCCAATTAAGTGATACATGATATGTCAAGTTATTTAACAATTTTTAACCTCATTTTCTTCATTGGTTAAAAAAGGGTGCTAATAAAATTCTTTCAGTAAAAGGGCAGAGTAGATACACTAGGATAATATGTATAATGGGCCCTGTACTTACACCATCTACCTATAACAAACTTATTCATTTTATGTTCCACAACTTTTGATCACTCAATTTCTTTTGCTCAGGGTTTCCTCAGGACACTCTCCCAGAGCTCTGATTGGAGACTGAGTAGATGAAGACATAATTCACCCTCTAAAATAGAAAATGCAAGAAGAACACAAGCTTGAGGTGAGGGTAACTGCAGTCCTCCAGCAGCAGTTAATTCCTTCAGGACTGCCCAACCTCTCCTCCTCCCAAAGCCTTTCCTGGTCTTACTACTATTCTGTACTCTGACTGGATTTTAGCATGTATCACCCTGCATTACAATTGTCTAAGTAATCATTATAATCACAATCACCAACTTATATTGAGCATTATCTCATTTAATTTTAATCGTCACCTCAACTTCATGAAGTAGGAACTGCTTTTAAACACCATTTTATAAATAGGGAAACTCAGGCTTAGAAAAGTTAAGTAGCCCAAAGCCACATTGAGATTAAGTATCAGAGCTGTATTTGAACCCCTCCACTCAATACACTAATAATACTTAAAGTGTGAAATGCAGACCTCTGAGGAGGGGTCTGCAATGTCAAAACTATATTAAAATATGTGAGCTATATTCAAAATAATTCTAAGACATTATTTGCCCTTTTTCACTGTGTTAACACTTACACTGATGATGGAAAAGCAATGGTGAATAAAACAATAAACCAATACCTTTCAAATAATACTCATACAGTTATTACTAACTCATGGGAGTTCTGGTGGCATAGTGCCTAAGGGTTTAACATGGTGGTTCAAACCCACCAGCCACTCCTTGGAAGGAAGACTGGGCAATCTACCTCCTTAGAGATACCACCTAAGGAGAGGTCACTAAGAGTCAGGATCGATTCGATGGCAGTGAGTTTGGTTTTTTTATTGTTGTTGTTGTTAAGGTTATGAAGTCATGCAAGGGTAAAGATCCATTCAAAAGATCCATTCAAAGTGCAATGTTGATCAATGGATTTTAATGTAATGATATACAAATAGTTCATTTATCTGATTTCAAATTCTACATTGCAACTAACTTTTAAGAAATTACCACTTGTGGAGTTTTGTTATGTAAAAAGGTTATTAAAATATGGTTCCCTTTCCAAATATGAACAAGGTCAAATTTACTTAGCATATTTCAACCAAAACAACGTATTGCAAAATATCGATTGCAGAAGCAGATATGAGAATTAAGGTCTGTATTAAACCAGATACTAAAGAGATTTGTAAAAAATGAAAGACAATCCCACTCTTCACACTAAATGTTTTTGTTCTGGAAACTATAGTTATTTGTCATTGAAAATGTTATATTGATATGTAATTGGCATTTCTTAAAGAATGAATTTTAAAAAATTAAAATATTCCTGTTTTAATTTTTAATTTAACTTATAATATTATAAATATTGGTAAAAATCCACACAAACAAAAACTCCTTTGTGTCCTTAAACTAATTTTTTATAGTATAAAGGGGTCCTGAGACCAAAAAGCTTGAGAACTTAGAAAATTTAAAGTGTCTCACTTATCTTTTATCTCTCAAACTCTTAGCACATTATAGACCTACTGAAATTATTTATGAATGTGTGAATGAATAAGTAAATGAAATATAATTATTTCAACTTTTCTGCTATGTAATTATTCTCTATTAGAATATTCATTGCCTAGTATTGCAATTTGTCTTTTAATGTATAACAACTCTATAGAATGAGCAAAACCTGCAAAAGCCAGAACCTGTATATGGCAGAAACCTATCAGAGAAGGAAAATTAAAATATTTTCCTCTAAAATGAATGATAGAAAAGTAAGACTGTATCCTGTCAAAGGTAGAAAACTTGCAAGACCCAGAAAAACAATGCAGTTCCCTTGAGTTCTGGCTCTCACAGTTTTCAATGAATTTTCATCTTTGTATCACCCATGTCTAAAACAATGCCTGGTGAGTAATAGGATAAGAAAGGAAGGAATAAACTCCTCATATTTTTATTTTTTGTGAGTATGTGAGAAAATCACTCTTCATGACGGTTCTTTAAGAATGCTCCTTGAACCTTACAGGGCAGTGAATGTGTGTTAGCGGAGAGGGAACAACTCAGAAAAAGAGGGTGAGAATGGCTGCACAATGGGAAAAGTGTAATCAACATCATTGCACTGCACATGAAAAAGAGTTGAACTGCTGTATGCTTTGCTGTGTGTCAACAACTACAATTAATTTTAGGGGGAAAATGCTCCTTTTTTTAAAAGGGAACAAGTTGCAGGAAAGAACTAACAGAACTCTGCTCTGTGGCATTAAGATGTTCACACTGAAGCTGCCATGCTCTGAAGGCCACGTGCCAGGTGCCACTTAGAAGTGGCCACCCTAGGATGGGATCCTAGGATGGGAGCATGCTGCCCAGGGCTGTCCAGACAAATCTCGGCCAGGAACTGAGGGCAGTTTCCAGAGAAATCTGAGGGACAGGCAGGCTAGAAAGAGTTCTGCTCTTTGGAATGAGTATTACTGAGGAGGCTTTCTATCATGGCCAGGTGCATGAGGCATTTAACCTCCAAAGTAGTAAGCTTCCTCATAAAAAGCCAATAGGCAACAGGTGATTGCTTACAAATGTCAAACCTGAGAGTATGGTTTCCACAAAATTACAATGAAATTGATATTTTGTTCATGTCTTTATTTTAAATAATCAGTATGATGTCTAAACTAGGTATCTAATGGTTGGCCTCTTTCATAGTTTCCTTCAAACAGTATTTTATATTTGACATGAATATGTAGCTAATGGTATTAAGTCAGATTTATTCTATTAATAAAGATTTATGTTTAATGATGACTTCTATGATTAGCTAATCTTGTATTTTCAGGTTAATATGCCTACTGAAGAAAATTAAAGGTCATAAGTATTTTTATATCTATCTGGAAATGATACAAACTAGAGACAGCTACCCTAGATATCAGTAATAAGCCCATAGTATATGTGGTAAGACTATATATTCATTTATCCACATATCTTTGCTGGGACCTAGACAGAGGATGGGACTACAAAGTGGGAAAAGACATGTCTCAATCCAGAAGGATCTCAAATTCTAGTAGCTCAGCCATTTATGGTAATTCTAATATTATAATATCCACGGGTGTTGTGAAAAGAAAAGATCCTGTACCCTTTCTTAACAGGATATGTTTTTCTTAAAATGAAGGATGATCTGAATTTTATTTATATATATATATATATGTGGGATCATATTCTCAGGAAAAAGGAGTTAGCTACTTAATTATACCATTTCACAAATCCTTTGTAAAAGAACTAATTATGGTGTCATCATTTGTTTAATGTAAATGTGGGTTTCTATATACAGCCACTCCTCAGAAGGAAGATGGGGCAACCTACTTCCACAGTGATACTGCCTCGGAAACGCAAGGAAGGATCTCTGTGAATCGGGTCTGACTCAACAGCACATAACAACAACAACACATACAGGCAGACATTTCCCACTCACATGGAATATGTTCCAGATTCCTTTTGTCACAAGGATTGTGACAATGACAGATAAAAAGGGAGTTTTATCTCAGAAACAAATTTCTGTCACTAAGTGTCCATATTTCTCTACAAAATTCTCCCCTTTCGATGCTTGTAACAATTCTTTAAACTAAATAAAGGGTAAGATGAAGCCCTCTTATAAGCTAATAATGCTTCATAGTAATTCTCCAACTACCTTCTAGATTTGAATGTCTCTAAACCAGAAGAGCTGTTAATAATTCTTTCTCTCTTGAAAAGAATTGTGAGATTTAATTCAGAAGGTCTACATGCTGGCATCGGGAGCTCTGGTAGCATAGTGGCTAAGGCACTTGACTGCTAACCAGAACGCTGGCAGTTCAAACCCACCAGCCACTCCTCGGAAGGAAGGTTGGGCATTCCTACTTCCGTAGTGATACTGCCTTGGAAACCCAAGG